TATTATTGAATGTAGATTGAGTATGAGTTATATTTGATATTTAATTTGAAAATTTTCAAATATAATATTTTAGACTTAATATTTATCTAAATACTCAAAGATTTATATATAGTATCTAACTCAACAAATGCCAAATGCCAAGTAACATACAGTTATATATTCGTATACTTAATTTAGAAAAAAAAGAGGTATTCTATTAGTTACTATTGTTGCATATGTTATATGTTTAATTTAGGAATTGTTATTTATCAAAATTGTTATTGTTACGTATATGATTTCTTTGACTTAGAGTTTATTTTGTATTTTATTATTTTTATTTTTAAAAATTATTATTATTATATAAATATGAAGTATAATAATTGTAGATAAAATTTCAATTATACATGTATAAATAACAAATTAATTAAATAAATCAATTAAACAAGTTGAATAAACAATTTTAAATCCTTATATTTGTTACTTGATTTAATATTTACTTATATATCATTTTCATACTTCTTACTTACTCAAAACTTTTTATAATTTAAGTATGATACTTATCTAAACCGATAAAATACTTATAAATAAAAAATAACAATTGTGCCCATGCTCAACTATCACCATTGCATATAAGGGTTCATTTTGACCTAATAAAATAATGTCGAAATAAGCCCAAGGCTCAAACTCAAAAGTAAGTATATATGCCATTGCCTATTTTCCAAAAAAAGAAAAAAAATTGTAAGTACATGCGTAGGCCTCGATGAAAATGAATGGTTGGGAGTAAGGACATAAGAACCAATAAGAGAGTGGCACATGTGAAGCTGTAATAAATGAAGCTAAAAATACCGCACAAGTACCACTAATTCTTCACTTCTTCATTCTCTCCATTATTTATCTACTAGTTGAGAATCTCCCTCTAGAAATCAATAAATTTTTAGGCATCTTTCTCAATCAACCCAGACAATTTATGTCCTGAATCACAAAAATGTTTCTAACTAATAAAAACACAGCACAAGATTTCACAAGCCAAAAGTGAATGTAATAAAGTCACCAACTTTCACTCAATTCTCAACTGGAGTCTTCAAAAACTCATCCAGCATTTGACAAGCCGGAAAACCCTAAATTCAGTGAGAAACAGGATGAAATTACCATGAAATTGTGTGTGATTGCGCAGGAGGGACCAAAAGCAGAAACACAAAATGTACCTTCTTTCTTTCTAACACCCTTTTTAATGTCTCACCTCTTATTTCTTGTCTGAAAAGACAAGAAAACATTGTGCTAAACCACTCTGCTTCTTCCATGCTATGTTGCTCCTTAAGATCAAAATTTCGGCAAAGAAATAACATTTTTATACCTAATACTTCTAGAGTTCTACTCTCTAGATTCTTGAGAGTCATCCTTATCTGAAGAAGCTGGCGGCTGGTGCTGCTGATTCAGGGGCCCTCCGCCATGACCACCACCTCGATGCTGCCCCATCTGCTGATAAAACTGGCTTAAAGCATGAGAACTCAAACACCCAAAATGCGCGTCCTGCGAAAGCCCGAGCTCCAGACCTGGCACTTGCTGGTTAGTGCCATTAATCATGGATGAAAAACTCATAAAACCCATATTCATGTTTGGAAATTCAAGCCCCTGGTACCCAAATTTCTGCATGTTATTCGAGTTTTCTTCACTGCTGAAATTTGATACTGCTATGGACTGGCTAGGGTTATGAACAAACCCTGGTGGCCATACCCCATTTGATACATTAGAACTTCCAAAATTCCCACTCATCACTGTCCAGTTGGTTCTGTCTCTGGGCCCAACTCCACCTCCCTTTGTGTCCAAAGGTGCAGAAACAGAGTTCCCCTGTTCAGAAACAGAGGATCCTGCAGCTTCCAGAGCTGATGCAGGAATAGTCCCGGTTCCAGTTGCCACTATGATGGAGGGCTCCGCCTGCTGCAACAGCCACTGAACTGTTTCTCCATCGGACTTATGACCCAATTCTCTCGTCAACTGAAAAATCCGCGCCGCACACAGCGCCGGCATCCTTATTCGCCTTCCCCTGCCATCAACCTTCTTGTGTCTGTCCTTGTTGGAGCTCCTCCTGGGTGCTGGCTGCTTCTTGTTATCTTCTTTGTTCGCAACCATGATTTGTAAGTTTTTGATTTCTGCAGACTTGTTTCTCCCTGCCATTTTGCGTTTTTGAGGGGATTTAAGCAGGGTTCTAAGTGAACAGGGGAGAAGGATATGGGGCCTGTATTTTTCCAAGTAATTGTCAAATGTTTTGGCTTCATGTTCAAAGAATGGAACCACTAAGTTTCAATTTAAAGTTACCACTCAATGATTTTTGTCTACTTTTCTTTGGTTCACTAAAAAAAAAACAGAAAAAAAAGTTGACATTTTCTCATTCTCTTTATCCCCTTTCCCCTTCCTTGTTGGCCAACTAGTCACCCTCTAGAGAAAGAAAGGTAACACTGCCGCCTAATTTAGGTGCCAAATTCTCGTTGTCATTATGTCAAAAGCAAAGTTTCACTTGTTTTATTGTAAATGAAGATAATTCATTAATCACGTTTCTTGACAATAAATCTTTGCAACGTGATGATGTCAAGGTGATTAAGATTAAATTAAAGATTTTAGATTTAAATTTTAAATTAAATGAAAAAAATTTGAAAAAAAGACATGAATATTCTTATTATATAGTTCATTATTTTAGATATATCAAGAAAAAATCTTCGTAACATGATGTGATAGAAATATTTGATTGAACAAAAAAAAAAAAATCTTTGTAATGTGATGTGTAGAATTGCCATTTTGTCAAAAGCAAACTTTTACTTGTTTTATTGTAAATGAAAATAATTCATTTATCACCTTTATTGACAATAAATTTTTACAACTTGACGTTATAGAAATATTTGATTGTACAAGATTTCGTTAGTGGAGAATACGCGGAGATTACTATGCGAATTTTGATGAGAAAAACTAGGTTTTGGTTGATCGAGGGCCTTCCCGAGAAGGGACTGCCTCTAATACCAAAAATAAAAGAAGAAAAGTTGGACCGCCATGCCCCCGTGTTTTAGTTGGTGAGTTTCGCCTTCTCCAAAGTCTTGGGTAGCAAGCTGTCAATGTTTTACATTCTTTAAACTTTATTTTTCTTCTAAGAATCCTACTACATTGAAATTATGGCAATCAAGCGTCTTTCATGCCTAAAATTGATCACTTTGGGTGGCCAGTGGACTCATCTTCTTGTCTCCATAAATGAAGCAGTGGATTTTTTTTGTTCTTTTTGGGGTTAAAAATTGGGAGGTCTTGCAGCAGATAAGAAGTGGGTCCTTGAAAATAGCGGTAGTTGCTTATAGTTCCAAATGTTACTGACCATGCAATGCGTGGACACTTTCAACATCTTGATCTTTTCAAAACTCATTAATGAAATCAAGGGATATGTAGATACTCCCATCTTCTGGACAAGCAAATCTCTAATTATTGTTAATTTGACGCTTAAATATTTTAATATAAAATAAAATAATATATTTTTTAAATTAAATTTATTATCCTGTTAAGAACTTAGTCAAACTAACCGTTATAGGTTAATTACTCTACTTAATTGCACATTATTTCATAATAATTGTCCAATTTATTCATATCGTTAACCTACAAATGAGAGTTACAAGATCATAAGTCCTATAAATAGGATATGCCTTTTTGCTCAACTAAGGAGTGTTCCTCCACATTCTTCTATTTTTTTTACCTTACTTTATCTTTTAAATATTCTTGGATAAAGAAAAATGTTTTGAGTTAAGTGACTCTATAGGTAGTGTAAATTTATAGAGTATAATTATAAAACTGTAGCATTCTAGGAGCGACATGCTATATTTATCTTTGCTACACTGATTGATCTATTATCTACAGAGGTGTGAATCGCTTTAAAGTAAATAAGTTTTTTATGCATATTTTGATGTTATTTTCTTATTAGTATTTCTTGATAAGTTCATTAATTATTATTTTATTTGATCTTATGACTGAGACACAATAATGACATGATTTGGAGATGGAGAAGAGTATTTGGGGAACAACAATTTTAAGGCAATTCACTATGCAAAGTAAAATTAAAACATATGCCACATTGTGTAAGCAAAATATTATTTGTTTTAGGTGTTTCAAAACAAGTATGAGTTTTTAAATCCTAATATGATTATTAGCACATGCTTAAATGGTAGGCTATTTATATTTAATGGCATGTGGATGGTAAAAAAAAAAAAAAAATTAATGCATATGGATCACTACATAGCTCGCTTGAACCATAGAGCATAAGCATGCATAATTCTTGCAAAAAATTAGCACTTCATGTTATTAGCCGTTGGTATTAAATACATATTAAATTTGCGCTACTTAATTAATAGATCAATCAGTGCAATAGAGATAAATGTAGCATGTTGCCTCCAGTATGCTACAGCTTTATAATTATACTTTACGAATATGCACTACCCATAGAATCACCTAACTTAAAACACCCTTTTTTACCCAAGAATATTTAAAAGATAAAGTAAGGTAAGAAAAATAAAAGAATGTGGAGGAATACTCCTTAGTTGAGCAAAACGACATGTCCTATTTATACGACTCATGATCTTGTAATTCCCATTTGTAGGCTAATGATAGGAATAAGTTGGGCAATTATTATGAAATAATGTGCCCTTAAATAGGGTAATTAACCTATGGCAGTTAGTTTGACCAAGTTCTTAAAAGGACAATAAATTCAATTTAAAAAATGTATTATTTTATTTTTTATTAAAATATTTAAGTTCTAACAATTCCCCCACTATTTTCACTATGCAAAGTAAAATTGAAACATATGCCATATTGTGTAAGCAAAATATTATTTGTTTTAGGTGTCTTAAAACAGGTATGAGTTTTTAGATCCTAATATGATTATTAGCATATGCCTGAATGGTAGGCTATTTATATTTAATGGGATGTGGATGGTGAAAAAAAAAAAATGTTAAGACTTTTTACTTGCAATTTTAGTGTCTCCCATTATACATGCATTGATACATATATGAATTTGTGATTAATTTGGCATAAAGATACATGACCGTTCATAGATTATATGCAATGGTGATTTATTACTTAATTGTATATGGACGGTCATGGACCTTATAATTAGCTTTAATGTTATATTAATTGATAAATGCATGCATATTAATGTGAGAGTTCTCCCATAATATTGAGTATTATGATACTAGCTGTTTGAATTAAATGTGATCATGGGTAGAGCATATATTTTAATATGAAATTATGGATATAAAAGCTCTATAAATTAGAAATGCTTTTTTATTGTGTAATTTATGAGCATTAATATGCACCAGTGATATATAATTAATTGACAATCATTATTTTCTAACATTAAAAAGGAAATATTGATAAATTAATATGTGCATTTAATTGATCATATTATTGAGTTTCTTTATGAAACAAGTGAAATTTTGAGAACCCTAGTGAAAAGCTACTTGATTTGGTCCATGTACTTATTTTGGTAAAAATGGACATGAAATTTGGGTTGATATATTCTGGAAACGTAAGTTAAATTTTTAAGCTTATGTGATTGAGGAATCATTTGTGGCGATAAAATGTGAGAGGAACTAATATGTTCTTATGAAAATGTGAGAGGAACTAATATGTTCTTATGAAAATTTGTGAGTAAATGAGTTTCTTCATGAACTCAATTATTTGAAAAATGTGATAATCACATATTTGAGATGCTCCTAATATGGGAGATTGTGATATCCCTGTATATTAGTTTTGGTGATGAGATTAATGGTGCCTAATTGAGATTTTGCATAGCATTCCTATTATACAATAAGGTATAATGGTGCTTAACAAAGCAAATGTGATATGCACTCTTATTATACAATAAGGTATAATGGTGCTTAACAAAGTAATTGTGATATGCATTCTTATTATACAATTATGGTATAATGATGCATGATAAAAAAAATATTAAGGCATTTGAGAAAAGGGGTATGTGATGGACATTCCTATTGTACAACAAGGTACAATGGTATTTGAGTTAAAAAATTCTTAAATACATGTCTCTACATATATGGAAAGAAAAAAAAAGGTGGCTCACTAGCTTTATTTTATATTAAAATTGTGGTACCATGAATTGAGAATTTGAGAAAAATGAATGTGAATTTTATGAGCTAGTAGACGTGTGGGTTGATATAAAAAAGTGCGAAAAAGAATGAGTTAAGTCTCTTCATTACCCACTATACCACCAACTAAGCCTTCGGCAAAGAGAAATGTTGGAGGAAAAACTATGATCATAGTCCAAGGTCTAGTGCTCATCAAGGGGGATGAGATTCAAACCCAATAATGTAGAATTTCCTACGAGGATACCCAATCTGAATTCTTAGAATTGAGTTTTGAATGGGAAAAATGAATCATAGAGAAGTCATCGTTGAAAGATGTATCGATATTTAACGAAAAATTTTCGATCCCATTCCTAAGCTGAGGATGTATTTATCCCATAACAAATTGAGGGTTGAGTTTTATACTCTTAATGAAATTTGTACCTTAATGAAATTTGTACCTCAATGAATGGGGTGTCTTAGTTATGGGAGTACCCTTGACAAATTTCACCTATGTGGGTGTTGAAGTGAGGCCGCTTCTATGAAAATTGGATGGGCAATTTTTTAGATCACCCATGAAAACCAGGATTATGAGCAAGGGCATAGTGCGCCAGCTATGTGAAAAACTCAATATTCGGATCATTATATATGTGATGCGATTCTTGTATCTTCCAATGGGATCATAATTCAAGACTTAGTTTACTATTAACTTTGGATTAAAAATTGTTGACTTACTCAGTAAATGTTCAAGGCTTAGCTACCTTTATTATGCATAATAATTTATTTTTGCCCAGAAGAAAGGTTTATTTTCATTAAAATAGTAGGAGAATTGTTGGAACTTAAACATTTTAATAAAAAAATAAAATAATATATTTTTTAAATTGAATTTATTGTCATATTAAGAATTTGGTCAAACTAACCGTTATAGGTTAATTACCTTACTTAAAGGCACATTACTTCATAATAATTGCCCAATTTATTCAAATCATTAACCTATAAATAAGAGTTACAAGATCATGAGTCTTATAAATAGAACATGTCCTTTTGCTCAACTAAGGAGTGTTCCTCTACATTCTTTTATTTTTCTTTCTTTACTTTACCTTTTAAATAATCTTGGGAAAAGAATGATGTTTTGAGTTAAGTGACTTTATGGGTAGTGCAGATTCATAAAATATAATTATAAAGCTGTAGTATCCTGAGAACGACATGCTATATCTATCTCTATTACACCAGTTGATTTATTTTCCGCAGAGGCGTGAATCGTCTTAAAATAAGTAAGATTTTTACGCCTATTTCGATATTATTTTTTTATTAGTATTTTTTGATAAATTCACTAATTATTATTTTATTTAATCTTGTGACCGAGGTATAACAATGACATAATGTAGAGATAAAAAAGAGTGTTTGAGGAACAACAAAAAGAACAAGAAGAAAACACAAATGAAACTCTGTAGTGACATGGTTCCCCCAATCTTTTCAAAAAAAAAAAATTATATGAAAATTAATTTTGATTGACAACTTCGTTAAATTTGGTAATTAAGAACAATTTTACCTAAAAATTTAAGCTAATAAATGAAGGTTTTAAATCTTAAAAATTGACTATGATGATTAAGAAGGGTCCGTCTGCCATGATTTTCATTAGACCCATTTGAGGTTGAATGATTATTATCTGCTAAAAATTTAAACCATTGGTTTAGGATCTTAAATAACAGAAATTTCTAACAACTATATATCACTAAATGCAGGCTATATATATTGATGAAGGTAGAAATATGAGTTTAATTATGCATTGTATGTGATTTGTGTCTGCCCACCTAGGAGACAAATAATGAGGGCCCTTGAGAAAAGTCTGCTAATGACGTATCATCCAACATGCTTTTATCATCCAACATGCTTCCTTTTTCTTTTTTTCTTTTTTTCTTTTGGGCGTTTAATCGAACATGCCTTGAGTTTCAAGCTTCCATCACAAAGTCGTTTACTTTAGCAGGTTTTTTAGACTTCTTTGTAGTTTCATCATTCATTCATATGATTAAGTGTTTTCGGTGGTTCGATTGCTGCCTGCCTTAAGAAAGTTCTTTGACCTGCAACCGGTTGATTCTGGCTGCGGCTAAGTCATCGATTTGTCTAGCTAATTAATGTTAATGGCTCTACAGACCAATTTGTAAATATCTCAAAATTAACTTATTTTTAAAAAATTTTAAAAGTGTGCTTAAAAATCGTAAGACTTGATTTATTAAAAAAAATTAATTTTTTTGAATACTAACTCTTTAATTTAAACTTAAATTTAATTTATAAAATAACACTCCTACAACAATATATTCTTTGGACAATTCTTAATTGGTGCTGCTTGGACACTTCTAGGTCCTGATGCGTTAGGTTGCCAATCAAATTCAGCTCTCTCTCTCTCTCTGTCTCTCTCTCTTGGTAATAAAAACCACCTCTATTTCTTGAGATTGACAAATTAGGTTCTTGACGGTGTTTGCTTCCAACATTGCATTCGGGTTTATATGTGAATGTATCTGTATTAAGTCCTGTATCAATCAGATATGTGAAAAACTGATAGAATAGTGAAATATTACACGCAAGCTCAGGTCACAGGCAAATAATTTTGTGGAAATTAACTTTTTAGTTATGTGAAAATCCAGCATCGTCACAAAACCAAGTTTTGGGGACTCACACAACAATTTTGTCTTTAATTCAAGTAGCTGGAGATGAATATGGAACAAAAGTACAAAATGCATCAGTGTAGATAGGATGCCCTCATCCATGACTGCGGTGACCGACCCAGTCCCAGACGATGTTCTGCGGCCGTCAAGGATTCAGACAATTACTTGTACCAGAAATGAGGCTGCCATGTCTCACCATCCTTGAAAGAACCAGAAAATTGTGGAGAAAGCTCCAAAATATGATATCCAATTGCAAATGCACACAACTTGATCTCCTAAGACGGAATCCCACAATTAACTCTATCTCAAATAAAATTTATTTATATATAAATTTTACTCATTATATTTATGTAAAATCATAATTATTTATTTATTTTATTTTTAATAATTAATGTCTCATCATCCATGAAAGAACCAGAAAATTGTGGAGAAAGCTCCAAAATATGATATCCAATTGCAAATGCACACAACTTGATCTCCTAAGACGAAATCCCACAATTA